TCTGTGGGTGGCGGCGCGTCCTGCACCCAGCGAGATCACGGACGCTGTCCAAGAACCCATGGTACCTGGAATTGCTATAAACTGCCCACGCAGGCTACTGCCCAAATTATTTCTTGTCAGGGTTCAGGCAGACATCACTGACTACCGCCCAAACTATTTCCTGTTAGGCTTTAGGGCCGCCATCACTTCCCACCTCAAGGTTGTCTGTTCACTTTAGATCACGGGCTCGCCGCGTCTCCCCACGGAGCATCTCAAGCAGAGCTGTACCTGCCAATGTAACGGGCAGCCAACTCCTCCCTTTGCAGTGTCCGACCACCCTACAATGGGTGGGAACGGCCTAAGCAGGCCGGGCGGGAATTTGAGAGCGTAGAGTTTAAGGGTCAAAGTTGTTTTTTGCGGCTGGGTTTAGGGCTTAAGGATTTAGGGCTTGCGTTGCGCCTTGAACTTGGTAAGAAACCCAGCCAAACCACAAGTGAGCTAAATCAACCCTTTGAGAAAAAATGACACTGGCTTATCTCAAATCAGGAAACGCATTATGCATAAATAGAAGCAGGACACAGCAAGTCAACGTGCATGCCTACCATTGCATGGGAATCCCCCGTCCATACACTGACTGCTCTTTTTTGCAACCAGTGCATCCGCGATTTCCAGGATCCGCTCCACGTAAGAAAGTATTGAAACAATCTAACTCAAATTCCAACTTTGAAATCGACACACCGCCGCGCATGTTTCTGATAGCAAGCTCTTTCATCGGAAAGCCGCTGACTTCGTAAAATCATGGATAAAGCATAGTCTAAGAGAGTTGAACGGAATTCAAACAGAACAGGCCCAAGAAAAGATGCCCTTCTTTCAAACCAGATGAGAAACCTGGCAATGGCAATGAGAGTCCTTAGGACCATAGCCTGGCAAAAAGCTGAGAGCCTAGACGTGTATGCAAGTTGGATTGCGTGAAAAGTTTGGCAAACGCATATCTTGCGATGCTGTTGGTCCATCCATATAAGGTTCCCACACATCTGATTTAAACTGATGTAGGATTTCATCCTTTTGGAACGGTTCAAATGCAGTGAGTCTGCAGCAAGGTCTATCATTGCAGAACTGACTTTCGATAGATTTGCGGGCCCTAAGGATTGTGCTGGCTGGTGCTGCTTCGGATGGTCTGCATGTGTCTGCATTTTTGTAATATATCAAAAGCTGTGACATGTATTGACTTTCCAGCCTCAACCAGAACGGATCCTGCTCCCTTGGTCTGCAGGTTAGAACACTCCAAAAGTGATGAATCTAGATCTGGGTACGCATTAGCCCATACGCTGCAATTTGCAGCAGCCCCCCAATGTCTTGTTGGGAAGATCCCTCATCATCGTGCCGAGGTTCTTTGATTGAGAAAAGTGTGGACGATAGCTAGCGTACGGTGCAGACTTGCAGCAACGCCGACCATCCTGTTCTGGCTCCGCAAGCGGAATCTCTGAAACGCGTCCCTCCCATCGCCATGCCAAATCTAATGAATGGGTCCCTGGAAATACGGAAATTCCTCGCAGGAGAAGCGTAATTTGGATTATAAGCCAAGCGCTTTCTCTTGAGGAAATCTCGGAGATTCGTTAGACTTCTAGGACTTCGGGAGGCCAGTTGCATTTACATTAGAGCACTCACCTGAAACCAAAAAGATCCCGAATTGCAGTTTCTACCACTTCTGTTCGGAGAACAACAGTGGCCAACTTTGAACAGAGGACGCCCCGAGTTCCAGTTGGATTGCCTTCAAACTCTTCCATTTACATGCATCTACATTCCTGGGCACGAAGCAGTAGACCAAAACATTCAGCAAACCCATAATTACTTGGTCAACTGCGATTCCGCATACTGACTCATTATTCCCTTACGATTACTACAGATTTCGCATCCCTGTAATCAAGTACTTGTTCAGGATTGTTCAGGTAGTCTTGCCCCTTTAAACGCAGTTCCCGGCCTTCATCCCTCCAGATTTCTCCAGCGACTAGCCGCAAAACATCGCAAAACTTAACATGACAAAGTTGACAACATGTTGCCACAACTGCTACAAATCCAGGGGGTCCACAGGTCGGGGGTTGGGGCCTGAGGTCGCGAGAAGACCCCAGCCCCACCGCATTGAGAAGTTATGTTGCGGTTGGGTAAGAGTAGGGCGGTGGATTGACTCCTCATGTGTCAGGCGTTTCAGGCGTCCCTCTAGGTCGCTGCAAAATCAGACCAGGTGTTGCGAAGTTCTCCGTCGCCCAAGAGCATCATCTATCCTCGTAGACATGAAGCGCCAATATGATGGAAACAGGCCGTGGAGCTAAACACGTCATTGCACCTTCTACAGCAACAAAATCTGAAGACATACTAGTAGTGCTGACGGCGCGGCACTGTGTGAGGTTGTGTGCACCGAGAAGGAAGGGTACCAGTATGGGTGAACTTACGATTGCCAGGTGGGTCGACGCACATGTGGGTTGTCTCGGGAGTAGGAGCTGAGGAAGATTGAACCATCTTCCCCAAGGGCCTGCGCCCCGACTGCCAGACGTTGGACCCACCAAAATGGAACTCAGGAGCAGGTGCGCAAAATCGCTCTCGAACAACTGCCAGGAAGATCGTTCGGCCAATTTCGAGAAAAGCAGAGGTCCAGTCGAGCCGGGTGGGTCATTTAGCATAAGAGCGTTAGACATGATGTTCCGCACAAAAAAACATGTGACATGTGTTAGTGGCTCGCGTAACATGTCAGGGGTAGTCCAGCCCCCCATAAGGGGTGGGCTCGGGTCATGACACGCAAAGCCACTGCAGGTGAATCCACGAAGCACTCCAGGGTCAGTATGATTCCTTTCAGTTGTTATTTGCTGTTGAATACAACATATAATTTGCCAAAGTCTACAGGCGGCGACAGTTCCGTAGTACCGTACAACAACTCCTGCCTAGCGGCATCTTGCGCGTAAATGGCATGTTAGTGTACCGTCATGCTAAACCGGTTGTCATAAGCCTTCGGGGCGAAGAAAAAATGTGCCGTGGTGGTGGTACCACTACGAAAACCCACCCCAGCCTCTCAAGCCTCGCGTTCGTGAGAATGCATTCAATAGTTGATCCAAACCAGCGTAACTTGCATGAACGCCATCGTACAATATCGTACATGAGCGGCGGCAGCAGCAGCAGCAGCAGCAGCAGCAGCAGCTACTACCTGGCAAAGCTCGAGAAGCACCTGTATCTTTCTGGCAAAGCCCTCGCTTGGTCGTGGGAGGAGGCATTATGTGATGCCCCAAGCATGTGTGACACGTACTTGTTGTCAGGAGCTGGCGTTATGCCTGCATCACTGCCAAAGATTGAAAGTATTTGAAAGTGAGTTTTCGCGTAGATGGGCCAAGATCTTCGTGATTATTGGCGATTCATCGATGCAGCTGTATGGGCAAGCATCCGCTCATTATCATAGGCCTAGTGCAGTAAGCATTGCTGAGGATGCCTTTAACTTTTACTGGAAGCGAAGGAAGTACTATCGGTTGAACCTTGTTCATTTTCTGGAGACATAACACGACTCAATACTGAAAGAAGACCTCCCCTTCGGGGAGCCTTTCCTCATAAGCACGCGGTGCGGAAACTTCGTTAAAGCAGCTCAGCGCATGGGAGCTGATAGCTGCGCACAAAGCTCGCTAATGCCTGTTCAATATTTCTAGCTGGCCTTGCTTTTGAGGTTCCTTGCAGGTGTCACCAACATTATAGGCAAAAGTTGCTAACATTCATAATTTGCAAGTAATTACTAGCAATCTGGCGCACAGGGCGCTGGTCCCTGGCGGATTCTGAGCCACAAGGCTCCATCACTGAAGTTGAAAAGTTCGCATCCGTAGAGCGTTATCCACAACCTTCCAGTTGGCAGGACAAGAATGCAGCCGCCGCTAAAAGAGTCAGAAGTTAGTTGAAGCATGAAGCAGTTTTCATTGCTTGAGACTGCAACCCTGTGACGGATCACGGCAGTTAGTTTACTCTACAAAAGCGTCCCCAGTCATGACAGGTACATCTTCACCGCCAAGTTGGCTTCACCCGCTGTGAGGCCTGCAAGTCGTTCCGCAAGGATTCAAGCGCGTCGTCGATGGCGCGCATGCGCGAATCCACTTTTATGCCTGAAAGGGGGCTTGTTGCTGCAGAAAGTGTTAAGAACAGGCAGCCATGGTCCTGGCACTTGGCTAGGCTACGTCTATGTTTTGGAAAGTTCATATTGGCCAAATAAGTCTTCTCTTGTCCGTGCCGCACACATGCATGCATGTTTGCCTTCAAGTGTTCAGGGAGAAAGATGTCAGACACAAATGAGTTTTCTGCCTCTTTCTAACCGGAGCCAGCTTCGTGGACTGTTTTCCAGCCCAGTGTCGTGCTTGATGCTAAAGCATCCTGAATGCTTGCTGACGGCTTTCTTTGGTCATTGCGTCGGTGACGCAGCTAGGCCAATTGGTCAAATCAAGAGAAGTGTGCACCCCTGAAATGCGTCATTCAGAAGGAGGCCCTGCCAGGCAGCCATGAGAACTGCAGGCAGCGAAAGATCAGGCACTTGCGAGTCTCAGGAAGTTGTGCTAAGCGAGAAACACAAGCCCCAGATGCGGTTCTTGAAACTACATGGACTCGTTGTGGACTCTGACACAAGACGAATGCCGGCAAGGTGAGATGCCCGACTCCTACTTGACTTTGCAAAACTTGGCAAGCGTCCAAGAAACATCTAAGGCTGCTGCAGACAGTCTGCAGCTCCTTGCGCAGGGTGCGCTCTCGACGCCATAGGTCACACCTTGACACCGGCGTTTATCGAGCTTGCATGAAGGAAGCAAGTATCTTGTCTGAGGATCACACTGAAGCGCCAAGACTTCCTCGCGTAATCGAACTAACTCCCATGCGGCAGTTCTTAAAAACTGCCTCGGCCTTTGACTGATGGGCGTCTGGAATAGCATGTAGGTTTTGTCACACACAGACACACACTTGTGCACCACACAGACACACACACACACATACACACACACACACACACACAAAACCTGGACCTGGTCCAAGGTGGCTGAGCAATATTGAGCAGTTCATCTTTGCCAAAGTTTGAGCACATGCGTACTTGACAATCGGACCTGCTCCTTTCCGCTTTGCAATCAGGATTGGGGGCTCTGAGGAGGCCAGGAAGAGTCCAGCCCATGAAACAAACACTTTTTGGTGGCTCAAACACTCGAGATCACCCGAGATGCTGGCTGGCATGCTTCCTACACCGTGCTTCGGGCCCGCAGCTGGCGCTAGCGCTTACAATGACTTCCAATTTGCTGTTCGATGGCATCCAACAAGCTGCTGAGCGTCAACGAGAAAATGGATCCTCGCGCTTTCGAGAAAGCCTTAAGGCTGAATTGTCGCATGCGATTAATGCGTGGCCGGAACGCAAGCTGATGCCAGGTTTGAACTTAGGTTGGTTCCATCCAACAGCCATTGGGGCAAGTCTGATACTTGAGCAATGCTTGAGAGGCAGCGCAGACATGAAAGCTTGACACAGCGGGTATTCGTTTCTTTGGCAGCAAGGCATGGAGTTATTCCAAGCTATGCTTCGGTCTCCACGCGGCTGTCACTTGAGATTTGCAAGGCAACAGCGACGAGGACGAGGACGAGCACCAGTACGACCACGACGACGACAACCCCCCACGACGATCACAACGACGACGACGACGACGACCACCCACCACGACGACCACCCACCACCACCACCACCACCACCACCACCACCACCACCATCACCACCACCACCACCACAACACCA